CTACATCTCCCTGCATGCAATGCGATTTTTGTGTAAATTTAAAATCCCGGCATGCCACTTCCTGTTTTGGTGGATTTTTTTTTTTTTTTTTTTTTAATTTTGGGAGGCCTGAAGAGTGACTTCTTGAAATCTTTATGTGTGATTGGAGATGGGCAGGCATAGGCATAGGTCTGTATGCGAGAAGAGATGGCTTTGGTGAAAAGAAGCTGTTGGGCGTGTAAAAAGAGAATTTAAGGTACCGCCAGCAGAAAGAAATTGGGAGTGCGTTTGACCCCGGTTCTTCCCAGACGCGCACTGTCGTTTCCTTCCGGGCCGGCTTGAACCTCTCCAGCCCCCGTAGGCAGCAGATCTCAAGTGCCAGTCAAAATGGAAGTGAATCCCCCCAAACAGGAGCACCTTCTGGCACTGAAAGGTAAGCTTTTGTGAACTTACTTTCCCTTTTTCTGCTCGCTTCCTTCCCTCACCGTTTCTCGAAGTTTTTGCAGCCGAGACTTGTCCCCAAGCATGTAGGCGTGGTCGTTCTTAAACACTGTCAGCAGTCGCCCTCGTTGCTCTGTGCTTTGGCACAGAACCCGAGGAAGCGATTTCACACTTCTGGTTTATAGGGTTAAAAACCTACTAGAATGAAATAGATGCCTAATAAGTCACTCTGATTTGTGCTGCTGCAATCGCCAGGTTTTAGCTACCTAGCCAGACGTCCCGGCCCTGCCTAGGAGATCTCCGATGTGGAATAAATTACAGCGAATTTAAAGTGCTTTTTCCTTCTCTCTTGCTGTTGACGTGGCACGGACGAAACTGCCAGGCTTCAATTTTATCTGTAATGTTAGTATTCCAAGGATTTAGCACTACATGGTACTACATATAGCATGTAACAGGCTTGTTTAAAAAAATTGCAGTTTATTTCAAAGCACTGTGCATGTAGGAAATACTGTATGTCCAAAATCTCTTGCCAGCTTTCATTTTCTGTACACTGCAATTTTGAGTGAATTTAATTGCCTACGAAAACCTGCAAGACAGATTTTCCTGAAACCTTTCGTTTGAATTTTAAATTTTATATCACGTCCTCCACAACAAATGCACTTTTGAGTTCCTCGGTGCTCTAGTATGTGGTTAATAATACCTTCTTGGACTGAGCTGAGGAAATGCGCTGTTTCTCTCAGATTTTCTCCCCTCCCCCTTGCCCCGTCTGTGTGTGTGTGTGTGTGTGTGTGTGTGTGTGTGTGTGTGTGTGTCTAACTGAATTACGCTTCCTTGTGGCACTCATTTAAAGAAAATCCTCATTTCTTCTCCAGCTTCTGTGATGTAAGCATTAAACATTACAGAATTCACCGGTTGCATTTGTTCTTGTTCGATTGTTTTGTGTGTTCTCTTGTTTTTTTGAGACAGGGTCTCACTATGTAGTCCAGGCTGACATTGAACTCCAGTGATCTTCCTGCCTAATCCTGAGTGCTGGGATTACAGACATGAATCACCATTCTTGTTTTAATTGACCTATTCTTTATCTCAATTTCAGATGAAGTATGTGGACTAGTATTACTTATATCTCAGGGTTTAAGCAATTTTTCTAGGGATCACAAAGCTAGTAAGTGGTGGAGGCAATGCTTCAGAACAAGGCCTGCCTCCATTTTTCCAAAATGGTCTGTCGCCTCATGAATGAAGCAGCATTTTCAGAGATCATTGTCTTACTGACTACTTTGATGGGAATTTGGAACAATTCTATTGGTTGCTAGTTGTCATTTTATACAAATTACACATGTTAAACAATTAAATTCTAGTGATATGGAGACTAGTTGCCATCTGGAATTTTTAGTTTTTTGTTATTCTTCATTTGCAAAAACAAGACATAGTGAAAATAGAAACTTTATTCAAGCAGACTAAAAGGAGAAATGCTTTCAGTTTCATTGATCGTTTGAGTTTTATTAAGTCTCTGCTGGTATTCTCCCCTTGTCCTATTTAATCAAGAATTTTACAAGTTTTAACGATGTGGGATACCAAATATATCAATTCCATGGTTAAATTTACTTTCTTAATATCTAAAATGTTAAGATACTATCTTGTTACTCTTTTCTTTTTTTTTTTTTTTTTTTTTTTTTCCAGTACAGGGAATTGAACTCATGACCTTGTGCTTGCCAGGCAGGCGCTGTGCCACTGAGCTAAATCCCCAGCCCCTATCTTGTTACTCTTGAAAAGAGAAAATTTTATTTAAAAAGAGTTCTCACAACTTCACTTTTACCACTGAAAATGAGATACAATCATTTTCTTTTTTTTTTGTCTCAAATGTAACACCTCGTAAGTTCAGCCTATGAAAGAATTGTCAGTGCCCTGTCTTACAGTGAAGGCTAAGAAATGGGGAAGCAAAACAAGAAATGCTTTATTAATTCTTGAAAGAATATTATCACATAGTTAGACCATATTAAGAATTATGGATGTTAAGGCTCCCAGTCATGTACAAATTTGGTACATGACAAATACGTGACAGGAGTCCCAACTCAAGGTCATCCTAGCAATAGCGTATCCTCATTAAGTAGTTATCGAATGACTTTTGAGGGAAGAACTCAACCTCCTTTTTTTTTTCTATAGTAGTTAGGATATGAAAGAGTACTTTATGCCTTTTGTAGCTTTGGGCCTAGTTAGGAAGCCTAATTTGCAGGTCCTGGAAGGCTCCTTTCTTATACCTGAGTTGTACAAGAACGTACTGTCAACGGCTCCATTCAGAGCAACTTGAGAACTGCTGTTTTCTAAGAGAAAGATAAGGGTAGACTTCTTGCTCTTCTTCTAGATTGGAATTCAGGAGCTATGGTAATTGGGTCTCAGTACTGCTTAACATTATACCTAGAAGACTTTGTCATAAAATCAGCTGCTGACCTAGTTAAAATGCAAGGTTAAACCATATTCATGTTATTTTTGTTTACCACTGAAAATGAGATACAATCATTTTCTTTTTTTTTTGAGACAGTTTCTTGCTGTGCAAAGCAGGCTGGCCTTGAACTTGCTTATGTAACTAGCTCAGGGTGGCCTTGAATTCATGGTGATCCTTCTGCCTCAGCCTTCCAACTGCTGAGATTACAGGTGGGCACCACCATGCCTGGCTAATCATTAAGTATTGTAATATATATATATAATATAATATTTGTTACATATATATATATATTTGGTAGATTTCATAGCATTTTGAAATATAAAATATTTAATTTTCTCCCAGGTAAATTAAAAATTACTAATGTCACTGAGATCAGTTCAGATGTCTTAAAGTTCTAAATATTACATTATATGAATCCAGTATTTTATGAATCACTAATTTATTCTTTGTTTTAGGATTATTACCAGTGTATTAATGTTAGTACCTCCAAGTCCTTTATATATAGTTGAGTCAAACATGTTTACTACTGATTTTAGGCTGGAATGATTTTAATAGGTATGTAATTCAGTCCCTTATTTTGATGAGAAAGGATTTTCAAGTTTGTGGATTACATTCACCTTTACCATTTGCATTTTGTTAAAATATCATATTGGGATTGGTTTTGGTTTTTCCCCTTCTCTCTGCCTATTTGTATGCAGGCTATCCCTACCATATCTTATTCTTTGCAATACTTCCACTTTAGGTCCTGTTTCCTCTGATTTGACAAGACAGACAATCTTGTAATAATAAGTTACATTCTAGCTCTGAAGACTTCAGCTAATAAGTTTTCTCGTCATTACGAGTAACTGGATTACTGCAGAATGACTACAGAAGTAATATTACATTATCGACCATATGAGAGTGATCCCACACAACTACCAAAAATCGCAGAAAAAGCAATTCAAGATTTTCCTACTCGTCCACCATCAAGATTTATTCCGTGGTTTCCAAATGATGGGTCCAAACTTCCAGTCAAACCTAAGAGATCACCACCCATAATTTCTGAATCGGTAGCTGAAGATATGAAACAGTATTTAACTATTTCAGACAGTAGTGTTAAATCACAGAGCTATGATTCCACAGTAGATCTCTTGGAGTTTCAACCTAGTTTGGAAAAGCAGCACTTAATCCAGTCACACACCCGGAATGAACAGATGGCCTCTGGAAATCTGGATAAAAAATTAGAAAAAGGAAAACAGCACAACAGGAGGTCTTGGAGTGTTTCACTTGTCAGCACTAACTGTATTGAAAATATTTCTCCTTTGTCTAAAAACTTGCAAGATAGTTTAAAGGCACTAAATTTGCACTCACTTTATAGAGCACGATGGACAATAGAAGACAGTGTTTGTAACAACCAAACTTTGGAAGACATCTGGGCACAGCTTAATCAAATTATCAAACACAATGAACTTCCATCTTGTAATGCTACGATTCAGAGACATGTAGGCCAAATATGGGTGTTTTGTGATGTTATGTACTGTGAATATGTGGGAAACATTCTTAAAGGAAAATTAGCACTTACTGGAAAAATTAATTTATTTGTGCATAAATATGGTGTTATTTTTAGTATGTGATGAATTCTGATTGTCAAAATTAATGGAATAAATGTCTTATAAAAGCCCATAGGCATGTATTTCTTTAACAAATTGAAATGCTTACCTTGGGCTAGGTGCTAGGATGTAGTAAGGAAGACAAACGGGGACCCTTCCCTCACAAAGTTATCTTGAATCACTGTTAGTCAAACAAATTTCTTTTAAAAAAAACAGTAAAACTGTACCAATTAAAAAGGCAGCCATGTTTGCTGTACAGTACAGTGTCTAGCATGACAAGAGCTCAGGAATGTATGGTAAATATGACCTTTAGAGGAATTATTTGTAGACTGAGCTAATAATGTTTGAAACACAAGAAGTCAGCCAATTTTTACTTAAGAGATAATCTTTTCTTAACAGGTTTTACTGTATCAATATATTGTTTTGTTCTTAATTACCTTTGTACTACATCAGATGAGACTCTTGTGTAGAAAATAATCGTGCATAAACACTTCCAAAAATCAACTGAAAAAGCTCTGGGGAATAGGGAATGTTTTCAGGACAACTTCTTCAGTAAGTCCTTCCTCTTTTATTTCATTAATCTCACTCCAATCGTGACAACAACAGAGACTTCAAGAAGTTATTCAGTATTGCTTGTGAGGTTGGATGTAAAAGGTTAATATTATGCAATCTTAAACTATGCATTTGATTTTTAATTTTCAGGATATCCAAGGTAACAAATCAGTCTTACCAGTCATAACATTGATTTTTTTTTTTAATATTACAATTACTAGTTTGATACAGAGAAGCAAAAATGTAAGGTACATTCAGAAATCATGGGATTCTTCTGAATAGTTTTTACATCCAAGAATCACACATTTAAAAAAGCATCTTTGAGCTAGGCAAGGTGGCAAATGCCAATAATCCTAGCACTCTGGAAGGCTGCGCTTGAGGATTGCAAGTTGGAACCCAACACGGGCAACT